TCGATCTCTCTGGGGGGAGCAGTCACCTCGCTACTAACAACAACAACAACCGCCGTTCGTCACTAAGTGGCGGTGACAACACAACACCGCTTGTACCAGGCTAGGTGCAGCTTGAGGCCATTCTGTGCAGGAGGTCACGGAACAGACCCAGGTGCCATGGGTTGACTGACTGAGATGACTGACAGATGAACCACCTGTGATTCCTATTGTGTCAAATTGCTGTGTTGTAGCCGTAGCTGCTGAACACATTGTCATACGCAAGAAGAGAATAGATTGCAAAACTAACCCCAGACCAGACCCATGGTGGCCGATTAGGGCGGCAGCCCAGTTCAGAAAGCTATAAAGAGGAATCGAAAATCTACGGGTACTGTACAGAGATAGTTTTACTTTGTCGCTAATTTTACTTATGCGTGCATATATACATAAGCATTGTACATATAATCTTGTCTGTTTACATATTAGTGCACGAACAACCCCACACCTGTTTAATGTTTCTGTAAATTAATTGTATAATTGTGCTGTGATCAATGTAAAAAATAACACTGATGTACCCTTTGTACAATATTCTCGATCTCTCACGTGACGCTGTGCTTTTGGCTCTGATTTCTATTTGCTGCTTTTCTTTTGTTTTTGGCATTTTGGTGACCCGGGTCACGCTTGCAAATGGGACTCCATCCTGGTACTGTATCTTGCATTCTCTCCTGGGTTCGCAAAAAAATTTGACAAAATTCATAACACACGCGACTCACATAACGGATAACAAGTGACAGGAACATTTTCAAGGGGGGCTAAATGTGTTGTTCTCCCAGATCGCTATTAAGGTTAGGGTCAAGGCCGAGCCTGCCCTTGACCATAACTCAGATGCCCATTACTTCTGAGGTGTGTTCATGTGAAATGTGCCATGGAAACGTGGTCTATCCGTAGACTGACCGCTGTTATCTTCCCACAAAGTTGTACTCATTCTATTGACCCTGGGATAGATGATGCTGATTTTGGGCCGGGTCAAGTTACGTGACCTCATCAGCACCCAAGCAACTTAAAATTAATAAATGTAAAACAAGTATAAAATAGAAACCCAAATATAGAATACGATATCTCATCAGATCTGAGAAGCTGGGCAAAATTAGATATTGCTCAACGAGAAGTGGCCAGGCGACGGCAGCTACTGAGTGTCGCTACTTGTCTGCCTGTGGGTGGCCTCCGGGTTCGCCGCCGTCCTCAGACACGAAGACACATTCTCATTCGTGGGATTGTCCAAACATCCCAATGTAGCAGGGCCCTCCTGAGAGAGTCTTGAGACTGAGCAAGGTTATGCTATTTAAGTAGATAGTATTATTAATTGGCGATGTTACATGCAGCTTTTCAAAAAATATATGCTGTCAAGACTATCAGATTGAACGTCCTTTGGACGTGTCGGTCCCGCCCTCCAGACAGACATCCAGCCAGCGAATCTTTTGTTGAATGCAGTATATTGACAGCGTACTCTACGCTCAGATGCGTCGGGTCCGCGACCGGGATGGAGGTGGTACGTCAGCACGCACGGGACGGGCTCATCGCCGTGGGATACGGGTGACGTCAATCGCGTACATGTCCGCAGTGACGTCATCACGTACAGACACTTGCGCGTCCGCCAGCCAGGCAGGCAGGAATCTAGGCAGCAAACCTTTATTGTTGTCGGTGTCGTAAAATAGTGCGATATGACGATGCTGTCTTGATTCAACACGTAGGCTTTCGCGGCCAATATCATCCATCATATCAAAATAACACGGCGCTTCGCGAAAGACAACGCACACTGACCTCAGGGCCGGGTCAAGGCGTGGGGGCTTTAGGGACCGCAGCCCAGGGGCCTCTACCAGCCGGAGGGCCTCCTGAGATGAAGTGAAAAGTTATTTCATTTGTGAATCCTGATTTTTATTTGTTGTTCGCCTTGCAAAAATACATTTTATTTTTCTTTAATTTGTTTTCCTTTTGAAAATATTACTGGGGGGCTCACAGTACCAGGGGTCTACACAATCTTAACCCGGACCTGACTGACCCCGATCTGAATGCAGAGTCACACCACACCCCGCACAGAAATCATCTGTCATCAAGACGCTCATACATCGGACTAAGAAAGTGTCAGATTGTGATAGTCTGAGAAGTAAAATTAAACATTATGGGGACCTCATTTGCCAGTAAAAAATATGATAATTGGTTCTTTACCCTTCTATCTGGCAACAAAACTGACACCTTTTTGCAAGGAGTCATGTTTGCATAGACCGCAATACCTGCAGTCATAAATACAAACAAAAGACATAACGCCTTTTGGCGTCATTTGGTCCAACCCATATGAGACTAGGCTCGAAGGAAAGCTGTCTCGGGTGTGGACCAATGAACTTCAAGGACAGTGCACATTATCAGAGTTATGTCTTTTGTTTGTATTTATGACTGCAGGTATTGCGGTCTATGCAAACATGACTCCTTGCAAAAAGGTGTCAGTTTTGTTGCCAGATAGAAGGGTAAAGAACCAATTATCAAAATTAAACATGTTAAAGCAGCGCTACAATTGCACGGTTACAATGATGCACAAATCAACAGGGCACTAAATGCCAAAAACAAATCAAATAACACGAGCGTTGAAACTGACCAAGTAATTTAAATACTGTACATTATGGGAGTTACTGATAAACTAGCCAATTTTTTGAAAAACAAAATATCCCAGTCAGATTTGGCACGGCAAATAAAATACAGAAACTAATATCTGGTACTAAAGATGTATCACCGAAGCTATCAACAGAATGTGTGTACCGGATTAATTGCATTTGTGGCAAATGCTATGTTGGGCAAACAGAACGAATGATCAGCACGAGACTAAAATAACAAAAAAGGAATATGAAACACTCCAAAATACAACTGTCGGTAGTGGCAGAGCACGCGTGCCAACAAGGACACTCATCCATAATAGAGGTTTTTGGGTTAGATCGCGTAAATATATAAATGTGTGGTTGAAACCCGCCACCAGCCGACACTCAATTGATTTTGATGTTGAAGTTCTGTGCAAAACTAGTTACTGCTTGCTGTGGTACATGCATAATATATGCTAATTACCATATGAATAAACCAACCGGCAATGGATACCCATTGTAATTTAGATGCATTCATTAATCCCCCATCGGCCCTTCGCACGTGAAGTTACGCCATCACATCTATCCCCTCTATTTAAAGAACGAAACAGGAGGATTTCTCCGCAAATCTGGCTGTGGCCTGATGAAGCTGGTTGTAATTACTGGCGAAACGTCGTACTCAGACTGTAAATTTCGATTTAAAGCTTTCGTGACTGCAGGGATTCATCTTCTTGGTTTTTTCGGTAAAGTCACGTAGAAGGGAAATAATAAAATAATACAAATAACGCAAGCAGCCGTCCTCAGGTGAAGAACAGGTCTGTCGGAAAGACAGCGTAAATGTTGTGGATTTGCTCTCCAACACACCGGTGTGCCGTACTAGTGACGAATTGGCATGTTCTGTTTACGTGACAAACCTTACTAATTGGCTGTGTCGGGTGGTGGCGGGTTTAAAGACACATTTATATTTTCGTGATCCAACCCAAAACACCTCTATGATTGCTGTATTGAGTAAAACATCATGGGGATTTTGAATTCTGATTGAAAAAGAGTATTCCTCCTTTTTGAATGAAATAATTGTATACGTAATCATTTTATTCAAGACCAGTATCTGGCTGCAGGGGGAGGAAACCAACATTGAAGTATGTTCATTGCTAAGTTATTAATTTTCCAATGCTTTACTTATATTTTGACTTAAAACTTTCGTGGCTGCAGGAATTCATATTCTTTGGGTCTTTCAGTAAAGTCATGTAGATATAAAAATATAGTAAATGAAATTAATTTACAAAAACACCCAGCTTAATAACCATTGCTACAGTCTACATTACAGACTGCCAGTACACTCACCCAGCTTAATAACCAGGCTACAGTCTACATTATAGACTGCCAGTACACTCACTCAGCTTAATAACCAGCCTACAGTCTACATTACAGACTGCCAGTACACTCACCAAACTTAATAACCAGGCTACAGTCTACATTATAGACTGCCAGTACACTCACCCAGCTTAATAACCATTGCTACAGTCTAACCATTGATGCAGTCTACATTATAGACTGCCAGTACACTCACCAAACTTAATAACCATTGCTGCAGTCTACATTACAGACTGCCAGTACACTCACCAAACTTAATAACCAGGCTACAGTCTACATTATAGACTGCCAGTACACTCACCCAGCTTAATAACCATTGCTACAGTCTACCCGTTGATACAGTCTACATTACAGACTGCCAGTACACTCACCAAACTTAATAACCATTGCTGCAGTATACATTACAGACTGCCAGTACACTCACCAAACTTAATAATCAGGCTACAGTCTACATTATAGACTGCCAGTACACTCAGCTTAATAACCAGGCTACAGTCTACATTATAGACTGCCAGTACACTCCGATTTAGAACCAGGCTACAGTCTACATTCGTGTTTTTTTGTTTTTTCGTTCACTTTATTTAAATTTTTCCATCTCCGTGACTTTACCGAAATAAACAAAGAATATGCTTTACTCATGTTTCAATTTTAAAATCGAATATTCTTTAATGTCATAATATAAGGCAGTACAAGTTTCCTTACATCATCTTAACATGTGCTGTTTTCAATAACTGTGCCGAAAGCACAAATTGGTTCGTCACGTAATTGATGTATCTGAGTAAAAGTTGTTATATTTCCAGTTCTTCGTTAATTGCACATTAATTTATTCAGTGTTAATTCTAATGACAATAATTATTCGCACTCATATTTTTTATTTCTTTTTCGCAACTTTCGGAGCGAATTCTCCAACTCCGTGCCTCTGTCCAGCTGTGAATCCCCTCGCCCCGAGACGTCCCCCTCTCATCGTGGGGCCACGTGGCCACGACCCACGCAGCCAGCAGTGGAGAGAGCCTGCCGCGGCCCTGCAGCTTACATCCTCGACGAATTGTGGGACAAATTAAAGAAATAAAGAGGTTTTCTCCCGGGTTTGAGGATAGGGGGCGCAATGGCGAGCGACGTTCGCTACCGCAGCGCCGTGAGCAAGTCCAAGGACCCCTCAGGCCTCCTCATCTCTGTCATTCGGTAAAGAATGTTGTTGTTGTCGTCCTTGTCATCTTGTTTTGTTATTGTTGTTTTGGTTAAGTTAATTGGTGTCGCTCGAGTTGAGCGGTGGCTCCGGTGTGAGGGGCGGTGCGGCCTAGTGGGAAGCGCCTCGCCTGGAGGCCTGGGCCTCTGCCGTCTCTGTTGCTAAATTAGAAAACATTAAAACGTGAAAACTTCAAATGTCGGGCGCCGCAAGTGACATTCGAATATTGTTCGCGAGATTCGCGGCGCTGCGTGTGGACGAGATCGCCTGTCGCGCTACGTCGCAGGATCGCGAGCGGCGAATTTCGGAGGAGGCCTTCATCATCCAGCAGTGGATGAACCTGGCGGCTGCTGCTGCTGCTGGACGCGATGTGTCCCGCGTGTGCGCTAAGGTCGCACTGTCAGTCGTTTTATTAACGCCGAATTGTTTATTAATAATAGACAAACAAATCAAGTCATTGTTGAGGGTGACGTCACTGTTAATCGTGTCCAGCAGACCTCTTATCCACTGCTGGATGAAGCCCCCCCCCCCCCCCCTCTCTTCATTGCGTCGGTCATGTTGGTTTGACCATACTTCACCATTCTGGTCACTGAAGGCGGGGTCCGTGTTGCCGAGGTTGTCGCACAGTGGTGTCTAACCACTTTGCCACCGCTCCGCAGTTTATCATTATACTGTAATGTATATCGTTATTCAGTTACAATCGATTCATCGTAATAATCGTCGGATCATTCAAGCATCCAATCATCGGTATCCTCGTTATGGTTATTGCCTCTCCACTGGTACTCCATCACCATCAATAGCAATTTCCAGTCGCAATATCATCCACCATCAGTTATTTTCTATCCACCGCTGGATGAAGGCCACCGGCATCTCGTGTTGGTGCCTCTGCGGATAAATCGATCTCATTGGCCCGTCCGGACTGTCACCCCCTCCCAGGGCTCCTCTTCAGTCACTCGACGTCTTTCGGTCAATGTCGTCCCATCCAGCACAAGCCCAGGCTTACTATTCTTGACTGTCAATAGGATGTCTCTGAAGGGAATGTATTCGCTGGTCCATGTGCTGCTGCTGCTGCTCTTTCTGTCTCGATGTAATTCCGAGGATGCGTCTCGCCACGCTTCGTTGCACACGTTTCAGATTGCCCTCCTATCTCTAGGTCAGTGGCCCATGGTTTTCATTCGTGCGCCGTATTTTGGCGGTGTGTGCCGATTTAAAACTTTTGTCTGCGAAACACAACGGCACGTTGCCTCTCGGTATCAAGTTCAGCTCTCTTCGTGTTATCATTGTTGAATATACGATGTTGATTATCGTCATTGTTGTTGCTTCCAGTGTAAGCTAGTTGTGAGCACTTTCTATGAGCCATGAGCCAGAGAAGGCTGCTATTCAAATGCAACAGTTTCTGTAAATGATAATAAAACCCATCACAGCAACAGTAGAATGCGTGTAGGCTGGATTCAAACACTTTAATACCACGCAGAGGAGAAAACGCACACAGGCAGCAGGGTGGCATCATGCCTGGCCTGAATATTGTATGATTACCACATCGCATCCACAATGCTCTCAGCCTTGTCTAAACCACCAGCGTAAAAGTTTGGCTGTGTTGTTGTTTAGGCCACCCACTCAAGATGAGCCTCAGCTTAGGCAATGCTGAGAGTATTATGCATGCAGTGTAGTAATCACATGACATACATGCAAGGCGTGATGGAAGCTGCGCCTACTTTTGCGAGCACACATTTGTTTGTTGTTGAAATCTGAAGGTTGTCTTGTTTTTGTCCCGACGAAGGGCGCTATAAGGAAACACGGGTTCTTGATAATGAATCACCCGTCACCAGTCACGTGCCACACCTGCGGTCATCTGCCACACATTGTTGTCTGCCTCACCTGCATTTGTTTATGCAGGGATGCAATCATCATTTAACCTGACACTATAACATCCTAGCATACCGGCTTATCAAATATTTTCTATTAACAAGGTTACAGGGCTTCCAATTACAAGCAGGATATAACACTCCCATTACACAAATAACAAAAAATCCTTATTCACCACATTTTAAATGCATCCGTTAAATAAATGGATGCTGCCACAGTGTAATGGTCAGCACACTAGATGTGTAATCCAGAGGTCGCCGGCTTGATCTTCCAGCGCGGAAGTTGAAACAATGGGGGCAAGTTTCTTAATCCCCTGCCCCCACCGCCTCTGTCCACCCAGCAGTGTAAAAAAAGTTCAACCACAGCGAGTCAATCGGCATTCTGCATTCACATTTGGTGGATTAAAGTGTGGATACTCCAGTATCTTCCAAGACATCTAGCCAGCATGGAAAAGTAGGCCATATCCATATATAGAGGGGCTCTATAGAGCTCCTTCAAGTGGAGGCCCCTTCTTCTAGCAGAACTGATAAATGTATGGCGTGTGGCCAATAGCATTTCACTGGATTTCCTAAACTCCATTCCTTGTGACCAACCATGGCACATCTTTCTTTTCCAAAAAAATGTTTTCAAACACATTAAATCCTTACAGCATGATGATTATCGCCAAACATACTGATGTGATGTATAGAGCTCTGATTAACTTGCCATCTCTCATTTACATGCCCCAACTATATCCCAAATCAGTATACAGTAATCAGCAGATGTTTATTAAATGTTTATGTGGCATTGAAATGCCTCAATCATGGAATCATGCCTCGTTCTTTCTAAATCCAAAAGGAGACGTAACTGACTTCAAGACTGACATACCCCTTTAGCCTCCTATCGTGCATATATCAAATGTTCATGAAGGTAATTGAAAACAGAACAATTGACAATCTAGAGGGTCATCAATCAAATAAACATGCTGGGTTTAGGAAAGGTTTCTCTATCATCCATCACATACATGCAATCAATCAGATCTAATAACGTTATGTTTAGCATTTGCAGACTCCGAAAATGCATTTGAAGTGGTGGAAATGATGCAGCTATCAAAGCGCTCTCAAACCTCTATAAAATACAAAAAACCAATCAGAATGATGAAAACTATTCATATGGATGTAACGGCAGCACAGAGATTACATTAAGAAAGTAACAATACAAATCACAAGATGAGTTTGGCAAGGGGATTTTAGGGAATGATTGAAGAACTTAATAAAGACAGTTTAACACAGTGTTTCGCGACTACCATAATATCATCCATTAAAGAGTTTTTTTTTTGGTTAGATCACGTAAATATATATAAGCCGCCACCACCCGACACAGCCAACTATTAAGGGTTGTCACGTAAACAGAACGTGGCCGTGGCCAATTCGTCACTAGTACAGCACACCGGTGTGTTGGAGAGCCAAGCCACAACATTTACAATTTGAGTACGCGGTTTCGCCAGTAAATACAACTAGCTGCATCAGGCGACAGCTAGATTTGTGGATAAGTGTAACTTTTTCATTCCTTATATAGAGGCGTAGATGTGGTGACCACGCTTCTGCGCTCTTGCGCCACGTTGGGGGGGGGGGGTGGATTACTGAGGCAACGTACATTATGCATTAGGTGGGGCCTTTGAACTTGACCTTCCTGTCTATTGTATGTATTCAAATAGCTGTACCAACGGTAATCTCTATTGAAGTATGCTGCCCTTTGTAGGCATGCATTTAAATAATGTATTATTTGATGATTCGCTTCCACGCATGACTAAGGTGGTAGCTAGCCGAACGGTTAAAGTTATTTTTATTTATTTCCATTTCGACATATTATCTAATTAGTCTTGGCCAGTAGTAGCTAATTTTGCACAGAACTTAAACATTATCAAAATCAATTGAGTGTCCTTGTTGGCACGCGTGTTCTGCTACTGCTGACAGTTGTATTTGGAAGAATTGAATATTTCTGATGTTCTTTTAGTCTCTTGCTGATCATTTGTCCTGTTTGCCCAACATAACATTTACCACACGTGCAGATAATCCTGTACACACCTTCTGTTGATAGCTTCGGTAATACATTATTTGTACCAGATATTAATTTCTGTATTTTATGTACCGTGCCAAATCTGACTGATGTTTTGTTTTGCCAAACATCTAGATAGTTTATCAGTTACTCCCACAATGTACGGTATTTTTTATCATTTAAATTACTTGTGCAGTTTCAATTCTTATGTTATTTCATATGGTTTTGGCATTCAATGCCCTGTTGATCTGTGCATCATTGTAACGAAGTGCTGAAAATGAGCGAATCCTCAAATAATACATTATTTAAATGCATGCCTACAAAGGGCAGCATACTTCAATAGGGATTACAATTGGTACGGCTATTTTAATACACACAATAGACAGGAAGGACAAGTTCAAAGGGCTCGCGTAATGCATAATGTACGTGGCCTCAATAATTCTCCCCCCCCACCCAAGTGGCGCAAGAGCGCAGAAGTGTGGTCACCACATCTACGCCTCCATATAAGGAACGAAACAATTAGACTTCTCCACAAATCTGTCTGTCACATCTGTAGTGGGTTCACTGAGAGACACACAAGATCAGGAGGCAACACGTTTATTCTATGGACCACAACGGGATAATGACATAAACTGGGTCAGGACAGTCGACACACTGTCTGACCCACTATGCCGAGCACGAAGACCCTGAGGAAGAGGCAGCACGGAGGACTCCATTCCAGCAGACAGCCCCAACCCAGCCTCGGGACCTCCCTTTTATGCGCCCCAGCGTGGCCTGGCTCCGCCCTCGGCCACGCCCCCTTCAGGAACGTCCAGAAGGTTCTGGGCCATACCCCACGTGTCCCTTTTGTCACCTTTGGCCCACATCCTTACCCTGGCTTATCACGTGCCCTTGCCAGCCAACCGGGCTGCTACATCTTCAGATGCCCCTCTCTGCCAGCCACCAGCACTACGCCCCCTAGGGACTCGTTCCATGACATTGCATGCCCTACTGGCAGAGAGGGCTACTAAACTCCCAGTTCCCCTCTCTATCAGTAACTGGCGCTAGGCGCTGTAGTGACCCATTCTATGTCACTACACATCTACGACTCTATATAAGAAACAAAACAGTAGATCTAGATTTGAAGCTTTCGTGACTGCAGGAATCCATACTCTTTGGTTCTTTCGGTAAAGTGACGTAGGTGACTTTACCGAATGAAACCGTTAGACTTCTCCACAAATCTGGCTGTCGCCTGATGAAGCTAGTTGTAATTACTGGCGAAACATCGTACTCAGATTGTAAATGTTATGGCTTGGCTCTCCAACACACCGGTGTGCTGTACTAGTGACGAATTGGCACGTTCTGTTTACGTGACAATCCTTACTTGTTGGCTGTGTCGGGTGGTAGCGGGTTTTAACGACGCATTTATATATTTAGGCTATCTAACCCAAACAAAATTTCTACTAATAAAGACAGCTGGAGAGTTGGACTCAATATTAATATGAGAAAAACAAAGTCGTGTAAAAACAAGTTCCATGAAAAAATTAAGGCATTTGTTGGAGAGACACAGAGGATGCATTGGAATAAGTAAACTAAGGACAGCTTCAAAGGCCGACTGGGATAATCAAAATGATGAAATCGAGCAGGTAGGAGTGCTTTTGCAAGTTGATAATGAAAGCAACACATCAGTGTGGCTCAAGAAGAAAGTTTTCAGTCGGTGCTTATTACCCGCCATGACATGGATTGGAAACACAGACACCGACGTGGAACGTGAGCGGGCAGTTGTGCAGAGCAGCGTGGAGGGGATCGCGTTTGGTGTTGCGCTGAGAGGCAAGAAGAGAAACGCTGGGATCACATAACAAATGCAAATTAAATTATCGTATCGACTGAAAAAAACGTTCGTGTAACCTTGCTTAAATTCAAGAATCCTATTAACTGTCGTCTATTATATCTTCAATAGTGCTCTTTATCGCTGGCCACTTGCCGATTTGGGCCTTTTGTGCTCAGCCACCTTTTGTAAAAAAATGTATTCCACCGATGGCGACAATGAAGTTAAACAGGTTTGATGATTCCAAAAAAAAAAATACTTGATGAATAGAAACAAGGTCGAACAATCATGCATATGCATGAACTATTTAATGCTTTCCAACATGTGTTTGATTGGAAAGCGTTTAATTAGCAGTACAGAAGCTGATGGGTGGTGTTCAAGGCAAAATACATTTGGTTATTTGGAAATCGTTCATTTGGCTTTGGCTTGTGTCTGCAAGTGTTGGGTAACGTTTAAAATCAATTGATATGAGTTTCAAAAAGGCAAGTTTCTAAAAGCTGTGCAATGTTGTACGAAAAGTTCAGTTAATATTGAATCATCATTTGAAAAACAATCTTGATCCCATGTTGCATATAGACCGACAAACAGACTCACAGAGCTGATGCATCGAGACTTTCACCCTTAGTTGGAAAGCGTTGATAAATGAGAACCAAGAAGATGAATCCCTGCAGTCACGAAAGCTTTAAATCGAAAGATGACAACCATGTTGATAATGGTGATGGTCACGATGTTGTGGGCAGGACCCTCTCGACTAGCGATGATGTTCACGACCGGGAGGCAGAGAAGCAGCGGCTGGAAGAGGCATACGACCGCTGCGACCACGAGCTGGACGACAAGATTGTGCAGCACTACACGGAGCTCACCACTGCCATCCGCACCTACAACTCCATCACCGAGCGCATCGCCGCCTCGCGCTCGCGCATCCGACAGGTGCACGAGCGCCCTCGCAGTTTCTCACGAGCGGTGAAACTTGGGTTTGCCGCAATATCATTGTTCGCAACTGGACATTGAATTTCATGACATGATGATACCGGTTGTCTTTGTAGAAGTTGTGTTTCACATTTTGGTCGTGTTGTTTTTGTGTTTTAGTGTACTTCCAAGAATTTAATATGTAGGGTTTCGCGACCAATGTTAGATTTTTGTGTTAGGCCACGTGTGTCATGATCCTCCACCCCAATACAGTTGGCACAGTTGGCACAGTTAACTTCGTTAGGTGGTGGAGGGTTTCCAGTGACAGATTTGTTCAGATCATCGTTACATGGCCTAACTCCGACTTGTTTATGAATTGCTTCAAGTACGAATAGAGGTGGCTTGAAAGTTATTCAACTCGGGTTCACTCAACATACGTCTTCTCGTCATTGCAACGTTATGATGTATCATGCTTACAACTCAAATGTTGTCAGAAAATGATGACGTCATGGCGTTAATTACTCCAGGAAACGCTGTAGAAAACGCTCATTGAATGCGTAATAGCTTGCTTTTTTACTTTAATGAGCACGGTGAAGTGACGATAAATCACTCATCCACCTTCGCCGCAATTTTGTCGACACATCAGAATGTTACGCGAGCCACGCCCAAAATCAATCACGGATAGTAACGTCTGCAACACCCCTGCTCGATGAACGACGATGTCACCGGTTCAACCCACGTCGTCGCATGCCCCCCCCCCCCAACCACGTAATCTCCCACCCCATGCTGGCGGCAGGTGCGAGAGAACCTGCTGTCGTGCAAGACGCTGCTGCAGTGCAAGCGTCATGAGCTGCGCAAGCTGTGGGTGGAGGGCGTGGAGCACAAGCATGTGCTCGCCCTCCTCGACGAGATAGAGGACATCCGCCAGGTCCCGCAGCGGCTCGACCGTGCCATGGGCAGCAAGCACTACCTGCGCGCCACTGACATGCTGGTGAGCAGCCCTCTGACACTCGCCGGCTGCCACGGCAACCGGCCGGCTCGCCGCTTCCTGATAGTGTACGGCCCGCCGCCACCGCTCGTCTTGCTGGTTTTACCCATCGTGTAACATTAATGGCTCTCCGAGTGAAGATGGACGAGAGATGGATGAGAGACCTGGAGACGAGAGGTAGACATTGGTTGTCACGTGCGGGGACGTTGTGATATCATGTGGTCCGCCAGCATGCAAATTTTACTATGTAGCCCGCATAAAGCACTATTGAGGAACTCTGTTTTTCCCAGCAAACCTACACGTGCAGCCTACCGTACTATTCTAGTGTGGCGGTCCCCAACCCTGTGGTTCATTTACTACTGGCGCTCTCCAAGGCCGTGGGAAGGGGTTGCAAATGCCACATTCTTTTTTGCAAAACACTACATCTTTTTACTGCCCATTGCATGAGCCATCTCCTTTATACGAGTCAATAAAAAGCAAGTACGGTCATTTTCATGTTTTTTTAATTAACGTTTTTATCGCGCCTTTAGATTGTTTCAATTTGCAAAAATATGTTATTGGTGCACAGAATTTCCTGAGGGTTGACGGTGATCCGCGGGCTCGGAAAGGTTGGGAACCACTTTCCTCTCGTATATATTTCCTATAAATCCCAGCTCCGTCACGTACTATGCACCTCGGGCCGTGCCCGGTCGCCCGCGCGTGTCCGTACAGGTGTCGGCCGTGGAGGCGCTGGACGGGCACCTGCGCCAGGTGGAGGGGCTGAGCGAACTGCGGCTGGAGCTGCACGCCAGGAAGATGACGCTACACGTGGTGCTTATCGCCGAGCTCCACCGCCACCTCTACATCCGCTCCACGGGCCATGCGGCACACCACGCGCCACCGCCACACCTCACCGGGTACGGCGCAGCTTTACGTGCGCGCTCTGACATACACGCGGGGGGATAACGCGCGTGACGTGTAGCGCGTGGGATTTGCGACGCGTGGTGTGACGCGGCAGAACGCGGCGCTCAAGAGCTGACGCCCGTAACGGTGTGACACGCAACAAAAATCAAACTCATAATGTTACGCACGTAACATGACAACCACATCGGTCGCCGCCATTCACCGACAAAGTGGGGGTGACGTTACCGCAGCACTTGTGTCAGGCTAGGTGCACTTTTGGGCCATCATGTGAAGTGTTGAAGGCTTACTGCTCGTAGGAAGTCACGGGAGAGACTCAGGTGTTATGGGTTGACCAGGATAAACTGACAGATGCACCTCCCGTGCTCTACTCGTTGTTGTGAGCGTTGCTCTTCCATCTCCAACTACGCAGCAGCATCATTCACGAGACTCTTCCACAGAGGCCGATCTGGTGACAGTCGTTGGAAAGTTTGCACGTGAGCTGGCACGCATGAGCTGACACGCGACATGTGCCGCGTATAGAATTACACACGTAACGTGACACGCAAAACGTGACTTGCACCGCATGACACCACGTGACACACACGGTCAATGCACATGGCCGCACACTGTTCTACAAGGGCGGCGGTGACCACAGACGTGACCTGTAAACCAGCACTGTGGAGGCGAGTGTTGGTAATGGCACAAATGTTGTGAAACTCCTTTCCCGTGGGCATCGAGGAGCCATGCCCTGGCTCGCTAAGAGAAGGCGGTCGAGCAAAGTGCCGACTATCATCTGTCCCATCTGTCCCACCTGTCCCATCTGTCCCATCTGTCCCACCTGTCCCACCTGTCCCATCTGTCCCATCTGTCCCACCTGTCCCATCTGTCCCATCTGTCCCACCTGTCCCATCTGTCCCATCTGTCCCACCTGTCCCACCTGTCCCATCTGTCCCACCTGTCTCATCTGTCCCATCTGTCCCACCTTTCCCACCTGTGCCACCTGTCCCATCTGTCCCATCTGTAACGGTGGTGTGTTGCCCCCTAACACGCGTGGGTCTTCTCATGGCGATCCGGTTTTTCTCCCATATGTAAAAACATTCATTGGCTGAAACATTAATATATAGAGGACTGGGGAACTTTGGCAATTGTTAGTAGCACCAGCTCACCGCCTGGCTGACTTCCCGTTTATCTGCGGGTCGTCGGCGATTGTGAGATGCCATTTGATTAAAAGGTGACGGTACTCTATGAACAACATTACATTATTATTATTTAGCGCACAGGGGGCTCGCTGATGAGTTTGTGGCACGGGTATTAATTTGTGCTCGATGTACAAGTCACCTTGAGTGGTGTTGCCTCTGATGACTCCGCCAATGCCGCCACCCTCAGGTCTCTGGGCAAGGAGACCGGGACGCCCCACCAGCACACAGATGTCACGAGCCCCCCCGCACCAAGGAAGGCCCCAGACTCTGCCTCTTCGCAAGGTAGGGGGCCAGGCGTGGCGATGTAACCCCTTTCCCATCGCCTGTTATATCGGCGCACCCTGCCGGGGCCCCGCCGGTGCGTGGTTGAGAGCGATTGCATCAGCCGGCCTCGTACGTAGTAGTGCCCGCGTCTTCTGCTGGCCGCCACGGGGAGACAGATGGGCCCAGCAGTGCTCGCTGGCAATGTTAGGGTGGGCATGTGTATAAACACGAACAAAGATGCACCACAGGGTGTAAGAGTAAATATTGTAAGTGACGTCGCTAACCTGCTTGTGCCAGGTTAGGTCCACTGCATGTAGGTGTTGCAGTCTTGCTGTCAGGAGGTCATGGGACAGGCCCAGCAGGTGTTACGTGTTAACAGACACACGTACACACAAAGACAAAGTCACCCCATATAGTCCACACAGACTGTAGGGGTAAGTGTTAGTGAGCACCTGTTATTATTTAGCACACACATGGGGCACGTGGAGGTTGTGTAGCGAGTATCACACACAGCAGCCTTTGTTTCCCCAGAGCTGATACTTATCCACTGCTCCAGATACTCGTCTAAGTGGGAGTCCAGGATAGGTTTTGATATTGTGTGCCACTGGTGTTATTTATGCTATCAACCCCAGGTTACAGGTATCTTGGCACAGTGAACTAACCACTGCACATGCATGCAGATACATACACAGCAGCAGGGCACATGGTAAATAAATCAGCTGGGTCAGGTGTGCTGAGGATAGAAGGGAAAATACAAACTAAAAACACAATCGGAATTCAAAACCGTAACTTGGAAAAATGAATTACGTGTATCATTACATACTGTGGATTTTTGGGAGTCAACAAAGCACGCTCGTTAAAAAATCAAATCACACTTGCATCCATAATAACAATAATCATCGTCTTCGCAGAGCAAATATTATAATCACACATCATCGTTATTACAATCACTCACGAGTCATCATTAGCATCGTCATCATTACGCTAATAATAGTAATGATAATAATTGCGATCCTCTACGCTAACAATCCAACTAATCATAACAGCCGTCAAAATAAGTGGCCCCCTTTTATTTTCGCTGGCTGTGCAGAGCGTGCTCGCGAGTGTGTGCGGCTCGGCGGCTCCCCAGCGGGCTCTTGCCAAGAGCTTACAGCGCTCCCTCCATTACCCCGTGAAAAATGATTAGCTCGCCTTGCATTTAAAAACCCATTTAGCCGCATTTCGCCCGCCGCACCGTAATGGACTGCTTCGGCATCCATAAATTTAACCCCCCCCCCCTCCCGCCGGCCCCCCGCTCCCGCAGAGCTCCCGCGCTGCCAGGATAGCGCGGCGCAGGTTCCGAATCGCTCCGCTCTCTCTCTCTCTTCGCTGTTGGGGGCTGGAAGGCTCCCGCCATTAGTCCCGCGTGTGAAGCGTGCGCGTTGATTTTTATGTGTGCGCGCGCGTGCTCGTGTGCACTGTACGGCGTGGAGGTGCGCCTGAGGGCGGGCGGCGAATTTAGTGTCGGTCTTCGTTCGGGGGAGCATCCGGCCACGTGACTCAGTGGCAGAGTGAGCGGCTTGCAATGGGAAGGTTGCGAGTTCAAATCTTGGTCGGGGGTTGATGCGGTCCATCATCATCCCTCCGAGGTCGATGAAATGCTTGTTGAATGTGTTGACTGTTTACTTCCTAATTTGTGGTTGTCCTCTGGATAGACCCATCCTTGCCTGAGCTTTGTGGAATTTCCGTCAGCGGCTCAGGGCTGTAAACAGATGAGCACTGCCTCAATACTCATTTTGTTACAGGAAATTACTTCGTCTTTGTTTTCTCTTGAGTGGAGGGGTTGTATCATCAGTGCACTCATGTGCGTGCAGTAAATCGTCCTTTGTATTTTAACCCGCTTCGTTCCGGGCCTGTATGACCCAGGTCTCCCCGGTTAAATAGCCATGTGTTGTCTCAGTGGGTTTTCATTCCTGGCTTTAATGATGGACCTGGTCTTCTTTGATTCATATTGATTTTTAAGTTTGCAACGTGTGCATTGAATCGCGTGTGTAATAATGGCTTTGTTTAGATTTGTATAGTCTATGTAATGGGTTGGAGGTGCTACACTTCACTGTAAATATAAAACAAATCTAATTGATTCTTGAATAGAATTGCAAGCCTGCGAGTAATGGTGGGTGGGGGTGGTGAATTATCGCACCCAAAGTGTACAGGTAAATATATTGAGTTTACGAGTGAATATATCTACAGTGTATGATGTGAAATAAATAAACATTGATTTAAAGCCCTTTGCCAATGCACTGCTGATTGAAGGGCTCCCCCACACTGTGGGGGTGGTAGGGGGTTTATTTTAGCCTACTTGATCATGCTGGTCAGTGCCTGTTGGTGAAGGGTGTACCCGGGACCGGTTGAGGTATCACTCGCCACTGACGATAGCCTTGGCTAGGAATCAAACTCAAGTCGCCAGGTCCTTAGCACAGTGCTCTGTATATATCCAATGTATATGCATGCATGCGATATACACCGAGCACTTGGCTGTGTTTTTATTGTTGCCACATCAGAAACCGTGCACATTTGATTTGAGTAAAATAATAACCTCTCTAGCTGACGCACACATGTGGCAACCAGTCAATATCAACGGTAGAACGCGCAAACGCTTGTCAAAGGCATAAATGCGCGTGCCGCGTAGATAAACACTCTATAAGAAATCTGCGGCTCCGGTTGAGGGTCAGGCGGGGGCCAAATAGCTGCAAATTTTTGGGCTCCGGGGAGACGGGCCCACAAGCTGATCGCACACTAAAACGGTCGCCTGGCCCCCGGGCATTACAGAGTCCCGTCACGCGGCCGGGGCGGCACAGAACGAACGAGGACGCGGCGAGATATTTCACCTGCCGTCTGGAAGTAAATGCCAGCGTGATTTGCAGCGTTCGGTCACGGCTAAATTGAGACCGCATTACAAAAACGTCGCCGCGGTCGGCGGTGTGTATTTTGCAGGATGACGGGTTTATGCCTCTCCACTGCACCGCCCACCCGCCCACCCCCGTCCCTCCCAGGCAGCGCGGGCAGCTCGCCGCTCGTTATTGTTATGAGTTTCCGCGTGCCGTTTCACGCGCCGCCGCACGGCGGATTTTCCAGGGCGTCGGAAGCGACGGGCCTGAGCCGGCTAAACCCACACGGCCAAATAGCAGCGGGGTTTTTTCTCTGGGTGAGGGAACGGGAAGGCATTAGCGTGATGTGTTGGCAGTTTCCCCGGCGCACAAAACCAACATTTACATTTAAAGCCAAGTGCACGCACAGCACTGAGCCAACAGCTGTGCACGCAGCTTTGTTATTGGCCGGGACATTTACACAGTGCAGGCTGCACATATTACACACAAATAACAGTTGTTAAGTGTGTGTGCGTACTTGCGAAAAGTAATGTGGGCCCCTTAAAAAGGCCTATGTGTGTGTACAATAATACTATGCTCAAAAATCAATGGGTTGTGGCTGCTGGCTTGCTGTTTCTGCCGCTGTGCTGTGGGTGCGTAGTCGCACGCACTCCACGTCGCTTAGTGCTTTATGACAAACAGTCGGAGCAAAGAGTGTAAACAGTCATGGCATTTTTCGGGTCACATTTTCGTGTTTCTAACAAAGTCGGCGTAAATCCCAACGTAAGTTGTGCACCGATCAGTCCTTCTCTTGTTTAAAAAAACAATTCTTTGAATGAGGATTGAAGAGGAATCATGTGTGTTGATTTTTTTTTATTAACGAAGTACATGTAGGTAAAGATGCGTCACTCATTATTACGCGTATTTGAACAGACAAACAAAGACCATTAAATGTTACATGTAAATGAGGCTAATTAGAAATGCGTTGCATGCGGGCTGGTTCGCCGTAAGTCCTCGAGCAAGCGCTCCCCCCGCGTGGGCCGGAGCCATTAGTGGTGAGAACCGCGGTCATTTAGCTGCCTCTGCAATGTTAGTATATCTGGCATACTTTGTACATTGTGTTAGAAAACGGCCCACCAAAGCGGATGTTGTAGCGCTACCTCCGAGATCGCTTCAGGTGACCTCTGGCCTACATAGTATTGGGCATAGTAATATTCATCGCATGACGGTAAAACTGATGTTTTAAAATGATCAAGTCTGGAATTTAACCACGTGATGTATTTGTTTTCCCTTGGTGAGGCCGTCAACTCACTGTTTGAGAACCCGGTTTAGTCACGATCTCTGCAGTGTCAGCTCGGCCTTTTGACATCTGAGTAACCTTGGATTTGTAATCCAGAGGTCACTGGTTCGGTTCAATCTCCCGGTGCGGCAGCGGAAACAATGGGAAAGTTTCTCAAATCATCCCGCCTCCGGTCCAAAACAAAATAAGGTCCGAATTCGAAATTGCTCTTTAAAATTAGTGAATTGGAATAACCAATAGCAATATTGCCCCCCAACTGATGCCCACGTTGCATCACCTTGTGCGGCACAGAGACATCTGACATTGGGGGGGAGGGCGGGGGTGGGTCACCTAAGCTACATAAACATAAACACTAGAGTTTGGCATTGGAATAAATGTAAATTTCTTAATTTTCAAATTTACCCTAACATCTGGTGGCGGCGGCAGGCAAGGAGGTGAGCGTGGAGATGGTGACGGAAAACCCAGAGGAGCGCGACCCCGAGGAGGACAGCGCCCGCTTCATGGCAGTGTTGGTGGCGGCCCTGGCCAAGCTCGGAAAAATCCCCGACGCCATCAAGGCCATCAAGGAGCGCTTTGAGCGCGAGCTGCAGGCCATCGTGCGCCGCTCCACCACGCAGGTGGCCGACTCGGCCTACCAGCGCGGAGAGAGCGCCGCCCCGCGCGACGCGCAGCCCGGGTGAGGCCGCGCAGACAATGAATCTTTGGAGGGATATCAACAGTGTTTGTTTTATTTGTAGACTCACCCCTGCCAATGTATTGTGGAATTTCCACCACTCATGGCTGTAAATAGGAGATGTGCTCATTTGGGCTTGAAATTACTTTTGCCTTTATAGAAGTTACCCATGGATTCAACATCATGTTGCATTTTACCTCCTGAAAAGGCTCAGAAGGCGCATGCTTCTTGTTTCACTCCAGAACCTGAGCCATGAACGAGTCGCGACGCATTCAGATAACGTGGTGACACTGTGCTTGACGTCCCCCTGCCCCTGGCCCTGCTTGGCCTCCGAGCCACATTCAGGCATCTTGTGGTTTAGTTCAGGCTCGGCCCGCCAAATAGCCCCGGTGTAAAACTGCTCGTTCCGTGGAAGGAATGTCTGGGCAATAACGCCTCCCCTCCTCCTTCCTGCAGGCTGCTGTTGGAGCTGATGGAGCTGCTGTTTGACAAATTCCGCTGCGTGGCCGATGCACACAGTGTGGTGCTCGCGCACCTCAAGCAGGCGGTAGGGCCGGGCGGGGCCGGGCGTGCCGGCGACGTGAAACTCTACGACATGGCCGACGTCTGGGCCAAAATCCAGGCCGTGCTGCAGGTAAATGCACCATGAAATTGGGAGCAGTGGCGGGCGTGCGCGCTCGTACGCACGTATGCGCGCGTACTCGAGCACGCGAGTATAGACATGGTTGCGTGCGTGCAGGCACGCACGCACACACGTGTTAGGAAGGGCCCATCAATTTCGGCAGAGGTGATGGTCAAGAACACGAATTTCCAACCAAAGTTTTTCGGCACGCAGGGGCGTGTGCATGCTTACGTGCCAAAGCTTCTCATGCCAACGAGCGTGTTGCAGCACGTTCGCGCGACGGCTCGTCTCGACAACGCACCCATGCGTTTATTTTTCGTGTCTTCTTCACAAAGCGGAACATTGGGTGCATTTGCGTTCGTTTGTACGTACGTGGCCCGGCTCCGAAGCAATGCACGCATGGAATTCCTGGCAAAATGCACAACTTAACCGCGTGCCGACGCAGGGATACATGTCGCCATTAATCATGGGACCACGGAAACTAAATGACTCAGCAGTACAAGCTGGAAGCAGAAAATAAATAAATATGAGCCGCTTAATTAACTTGTTTTGCGTGGGCTTGTGTTTATTAATAACAAGGAAGAAATGCATTTTGAGCACCGCTGCCTTCGGGAGCTCAATTTGTCGGTAGGATAACGTGACGGAGCGGAGCAACGGATCGACATGCCGGCGATGTACAAACACGACGCGGTGCCCGAGAGCGGTGACGAGCGTCGTGCGTGAGCCATACTGACGGGGTAATCTTGTTACAAAGCCACGAGCGGACTCGCACGTGCGCCCGCTCGTTTACGCGAGCGAGAGAAACGCCGCCGCATATTGGTTGCGCTGTGGCGCGATGCCCCCGTCGTAACCACCCAAATACTTTGGGCACCCCCCCCCCACTCCCTCTTGCGTCACGGGCGAGGGAGCGACGCCGTCAAGGATGTTTTGAATAAGATGCTTTTTCTCCGTCTGCGGAACGCAACGAGACAAAGTGCGGCGGGAAACATTTTTTAGCGCGACGCATGCGAGCGTGCCGCCAGATTCATTTTTCTTGCAGATCATCTGTCACCGCGAACGGGGGCGGCAGGGGCGGCAGTGGCGGTGGGGGGGGCGGTGGGGGGGGCGTCCATCCGGGGAGATAAATGACGTCGTGCACCAACAGCTGATAGCAATCAAACCCAATAATGTGCCTGGAGCCCTCGTGATCCGTTCCAACATAATAATTTGACAAATGTTTTCGCGCAAGATTTTACAAGATGAATCAGCCCTGCCCTCCCAGCCTTAGCATATACATTTATCTTTTTTTTACTCTCCCTCTGCTCTCTATCGTGGTTCCACTCTCTCGTCCGCCCGCTCTCACTACTCACACGCTCTCTCTCTCACGTGCCGTCATGCATATTCCAATTTGCGGTTGTGGCTTTCTTTACAAGATGGGGAGGGGGGTAGAGTGCCTGGAGTGTAAAATGGGAAGTGAAAAAGGTTTAACATTAAAAATGGATAGAAAGAGCCATCGCAGCCCCAGGCAGCAACCACAGTTCTCGTTGGCAGCCATTGGCTCTTAGCCGCAGTAATCGTGATATGCTCCAACTCTTAAATATTAAGCTTAACAAATAGGCTCCACTTACAATGGAATGATCAGCCTTCAGTACAGAAGCCGGAGTCCCTACCCACCACCCCCTACCGGTTTTGCCACTCCATCACATAATGTTCCCTCTGTCCGTGCTGCAGATTTTCACGTCTAAATACGTCTCCCAGCACATCGATTCATCTCGGCAAAGACGTTATTTGTGGCGGTGTTTCGAATCAGCAGGTGGTGCATGGGACAATCTTTATTTATCCACGGGCCGGTTTACGTGGAATTTGTCGGAAGCTTGTGTGCGGCACGCGCATGCATATTTAACCCAACGGCCGGCTACATCGTCATCATCATCATCATTCTTCTTTGTGTTGTAGTAATAACAATGACCTTTGCCCAGGAAAGCCTCACTTTGTCACAATAAGTTTTACTTTTGATTTAAAGCTTTCGTGACTGCAGGGATTCATATTCTTGGTTCTGTCGGTAAAGTCACGTAGAAGGGAAATAATAAAATAATAACAAATATAAAAAATATAAATATTTGTTATTTTTGTTAATGTCACCGAAATGAAGACTTTTCCACGAAGGCCCTGCACTGGGATGTTTGGCCAGTCCCATAAATGAGAGTTTTGATTAGTCGCCTCGTATTATCAGCGCTGTTTTGTTCATCTGGTGTTTTGGCCTTTGGGCCTGTGCTCAGCAACTGTTTTTTTTTTAAAAAGCCTATATACCTATCACGCCTTTTATCTTCTCATGATAAATAAACATTTTGGAGAAACATTCGTGAATATTCATTTGTGTCCGAGAACAGAGCTTGCTAATACTAATTAAGCTCGTGCCGGTGTTGAGCTCCATGGCCCTGCGAGTCGACTCGTGGTCTCGTCACCTCCTCGCGCCGTGTCCCTGTGCCGAGCAGCAGGCGCGACGCGACATCTGCAGATAATTAATTGGCGCGGTGTCACTCTGAGTGTCGCCGGCCTCGGCGGCGCTCATGGCGCCGCTGTCGGTGCCAGATATTCTTCGAGGCGGAACACCTTCCCCGTCTCGCACATTCATGGAGGGGGGTAGTCGCCCGAGGGAAACTTGGAAATCGCTATTTATCCGTCCGTCCGTCGGTCGTTGTTATTCATACGTGCTGGAGTCGAACGAGGTCCGTCAAGTGGCGGTCCCTGGGCTACATGTGGCCCGCGAAAGGCCTCGGGAATGGCCTGCCGAGCTTTGGCCCGCCGAGAGATTTGGCTCGCAGAGGCATGGAGAGCTACGGATTAGCGAGATGAAAAAGAGGCAAAAGCAAGATATAGACATGAGAGCTGTAGGAAAGAGATAAAGATTATTGACATGAAAAAGAGAAATAATTGAGATAAGAGAGCTGCACACAAGAGATGATGATTTGTGATATGAAGGAGAGATGAACAATGGATAGAGATAAGAGAGCTGCAGACAAGATATGATGATTAGTGAAATGAAAGTGAGATAAACCTGATGAGAGACGAGATACCTGGAGGCATGCAGTACAGATTAGTGGTCAGGTATATACACGGTATGACATCACGACACCATGTGATGCCACGTGGCCTGCCAGCACACGAAAGTGTTATTATGTGGCCTGCCGGAACGTGGTTGACGAATCCTCCAACGTTCCAGTATCTTACATTTTAGAGTGGGCAACAGTTTTGAGTTGCCGTCTTCCGTGTGTCAGCTTCGTAGCCAAGTTAAAGTGCTCACAGAAAGGAATATGTTGCACTATATTTTGCGCGCGGTTGCATTTAATTTTGCTCACTCTGTGTTAGCCGCTGAGGTCATGCCGGCTTAATTATTTTTTATTCCTGTTGCTCTATGCCCCCTGTAGCGTTCCCGTTCTGCGTAAAATATTGCTTTGACTGAACATTATTCTAATATGCAAAGCGGGTGGAAAAGTGCTGCTCCCTAATGTATGGAACAAGAGTCACCTGAAGGGATCTCATAGATAGCTCTGTGATATATGCGTCCACGGACCTATTCTCCGTCACAAATGGTTCCAATCCTCTGCGAGAGTTTCGGACTCTTCTGCGTCTTTTGACACGACGTTGAAAATACAACAACAAAGTGATCAAATAAGGTCAGGAGGTGTCACAGACACAAACCCTCACTCTGCCGCATCTCTCTGCCACCTCACACGCTAATCTCCTGCACCCCATCGTACTCCAGCGAGTGTCGGGCTTTCTGATCCGCGTTCCTTATTTATCTGGATGATACCAATTGGGGTTCATTACGTCTACCGTAGGAACACATGTTCAATAATCAATCAATCTTCATTTTACGTGCCAATATCGCCTTCAATAAAGTAGGCATCAGTCCACATTATTTCAGAGCTGGATTTTGCCCAAACTAAGTGGCAAACAAACGTAACTCCATGCGTTTTTGTTGTATGGTGATTGGTGACTGGGCTGAGACCAATCCTTTCCACTTGAGAAGCACAGGTAATCACAATGGGCTGAAACCTGGATTCGAACCCAGGTTCTCAGCGCTTCCGACTCGGCGTCTCTGACCTCGGAGCCATCCAGCCACCTCGGCCGCTCCTGATTCTCAGCCGGAGACCGGAGCCGGCTCCTTTGGAGCAAGCGGAGTTTTGCTGCGACGCTCTTATCTCCGCACGTCAATTGACGTGACGACGCGACGAGACGGACGCTCGTTTTCGATTCCCGCCGAGGTTGATGGATTGGCCCAGCCAATCTAACGGGCAGAGAGAAGAGGCCAAAAAAAAGGCAAAAAAACACGCCGGCGCTTGCTCCGGCGACGCGCGTGGCCGTGTTTTGGCTGTCCTGCCCGATATAGTATCGGCGCACGTGCACGTCAGGGCGACAGATAACCCGCGCGGGGCGGGGAGGCGGAGGAGAAGGCGCGCAACCGCAATCGCCTCCCGGCTGCATCGCCGCGCCTCGGTCTCTCCGCTCCACCCAGTGGAAACGCTGGCTCCCGAGGCCGTCTGCTGGGCCGGGCTGGTGTAATCGATGGTGCTGCTGTGATGAGATTGGCGATTACGGATGACTAAGGATGGTGATTGATGATTATGGCGGCGGTGATATCCGTGGTGGCGGTGATATTGACGGTGCTGCTGGCGGTGGTGATAATGGCGAAAGTGATGTTTGCGGCTGTCAGGGTGGTGGTTATGACGATATTGATGGTTTGGGGAGATGGTGGTGATAATGCAGGCGTTCGTGATGACGATGGTGAAAGAGACAGCTGTGGTTGTGTTAGTGATGATGATGTTGTTTATTGTTGGAGTGATGATAATATGGGCGATTGTGGATGATGGTGACGGTAATGGCTGGAATGTAAATTGTTGCGACAGTGACGGTGAGATAGATCGTGCAGAGTGATAATGATGTTGGTTATGATTATGATGATTCCAGTAGTGACTCCAGTCGCAGTGATGGTTGCAGTAATATTTAGATGGTTGCTTGAACGCAGATCGTGTGTGCGTTGTTGACGATTGTTGATCATGAAGACGGTTGTAGTGATAATGCAAGCACTGGTGATGGTGACGTCGCGATTGGTGAAGATTGTGCGTGTGTCGGTGGTGGCAATATATTATCGGTTGCTTTTCGTGGTGATAGTGATTTGACGATGGCTCCTTCGCAGATGTTGCTCACGGATTACCTGGATGTGAAGAACACTCGAGCTGCCGGAGCAGAGCCCTCGGCCCAGCTCCCCTACCCCAGTTCTGGTGGAGACTTCTCCTCGTTCTTCGTGAAGAAAAAGCAGCAACGACAGCGGCCATCGCTGTTCAAGTGAGACCGGCACCGCATCGAAAACCGTCATCGCTATCACTCGCTGCCATCGCCACGATCGTCGTATCGATCATCGCCGTCACTGCGATCATCGCAACAATCATCCCCGTTGCTACTATCATCACAACAATCATTGCCATCACTGCTATTATCGCAGCTATCGCAGTCGTCATGGCAACACTTAACAGCCATTATGACAGCACTTATCCCCATGGCCAACATCGTCACAACTGTCCGGTGTCAACATTCATCATCACAGTGCATCCGTTGTTGCCATCATCATCTTGACAATACGTAATGTAGCGCACATCACCACCATCGCAATTCTCTCCACAACTATCATCACAGCACTCAACTCCACTTATCATAACCAAAAACCTCAATTATGGATCATCACAACCGTCATCGCAACACTCAACGTATACATCTTCACAACCGTCATCACAACACTCCAATAACCATCACCACAACAATGTTACACAACACTCCAATAACCATCACCACAACAATGTTACACAACACTCCAATAACCATCACCACAATAATGTTACACAACACAGGATCGCAACCATCATCACTATTGTTGCCACCTCTGCCATGACTCTCACGCTTGAGTGGAGCGCACGCAACTCAGAAGCTGAACTGTCTTACGCACAGGAAGCAGCCTTATTAATCACAGATGACGAATAGAACAATATGCCATGCATTTCCATCGTGCAAAACACCGTGATAAAAAAAATCACAGCAACACGTTCCACAACGACGGTTCTCAAAAAACACGGAGCGAGTTGACAGTTGTCAAAACGATACTCGTCATCCGTCAATGGACGTTGTTGCCGCAGCAACGGTAAAGGTCCCTCCCTCCGTATCCTATTCACGGCTTTGGAAATATTTGTTCCAACAAAAAAAAACAGTTGGCTGATTTGGGAAATGACAAACCCTGATATTTTGGGAGGAAGGATTTTATTTTATATTTTTTGTATGTTTAGGATGAATCGATTTTTCTTTCGGTGCCGCCACCAGCAACAGAGCGGACGAGCGATTCGGAGAAAATAAAAATGTCAGGAATCAATGCAGAGCCTGCGGAGGTGGTGTCAGCGGCGCCTTGCCTTTTTTTTTTGCAGAGCCTTTTAATTCAGCGGCAGATTGTTGTGGCCGCGCGCAAGCATTTCCTTTTGCAAATTGTCTGTCCTGTGAAATTGTTTCAATTTGTGCCTGCCAGTCCATCGATTTGTCTTTGAAATGGACGCCGCCGCCACTTGGAATCGGGAGTGCGTGTTATGGAAAATAAAGCATTTAATCTGGAGTGTTATTAAATTTGAAGCGGTATAAGGGACAGTGAGTGATGGCGGAGGATGTGTCCGTGATATTTTACGGGGGAATATCTCTCTTTCTCGCGCGGTAACGCATAATTATTTCGACATGTAAACACCTCCGTGCGGGGAAAAAGTGCAACGCATCTCAGCCCCCACCATTTGATTCCGGATAAAAGCTGCATTGTCACCCGGGTGTCCTGTAAAGCCAGAGGCAAATCAACGTAATCACCATATGCCTTGCTCTCTACACCGCTGGATGAAGCCCTTCCGAAGACCAGTCGCCATCTCTCACCGATTCGCAATGCAACAAGCCCCACCCGGCTCTGCCCGTGACTTGTCTTGCCCAAGCCCATTTACTTTTTAATTTATCAGTCAATATGGTGGCTGGATGTTGCATATGCTCTCTGAGTCGTCAATGTATCTGCCTGTCTATCAGTGTAATCCTAAGCACGCACCTCTCTCTTGTCAGCTTTTTATTTGTCTTCGGCTGAACAGATGACTTATCTTATAAAGAACATTGCAGGCCACATAAACGAAAGACGATGTTTAGGTTTATATCGCGTCATTGTCACTTATGCAATTTCAATCTTCCTACCGCTGAGAAACCACGGACACGTGAGAAGGCGCTGAGCCTCTGCCAATAATTGCCCAAGCTCTACAGTCCCGTAGATATAGATATGTCTTCAGCAAATTAATGGGTGTTCTTATCTTGCAGATGCACACCTGGGCTATATCTGTTGGGCTGTCGTGCAAGCGTTTAAAGGTTCATTCATTAAAATGTCAGATGCTCCCCAATTGCACTTTGGTGATGTTATTGAAAAAAAAAAACACAATTTAATTGCTATCAGCCAAACATCCCATTGATGAAAATTTACCTGCCATCTACTCAATTGGGATTACACATAGCCACAACATCTTGGCAGGACCCTCCTAATAAAGTCTTGAGACTCATCTTCTTGTTTCTTTCGGTAAAGTCACGTAGAAGGGAAGTAATAAAATAATAAAAATAAAACATAATTTATTATTATTTTATTACTTCCCTTCTACGTGACTTTACCGAAAGAAACAAGAAGATGAATCCCTGCAGTCACGAAAGCTTTAAATCGAAAAATCTTGAGACTCAGTGAGGTTTTCCGGGGCAAACAAGCGTAGTGATAATAATAACTGCACCATCGCTCCTGTACTGTTTAATGCGACATCACTGCAGTCAGAGAACACCTGACTCTAACTTTAAGGTCTTTTTTCTCAAACAGCGTATCTTCAAACGTACGTATCGGACAAGTGAAATGCGCGCACCGTAGGTATTTTGCTTAAAGGCAAGATACTTCTGTGTTTAGGCATGCACCTTGTTTTAATTTTAACACGACTGTGTGTGGGCTTGCACATGCAGCGAGCAAGCGACGCGTGGGCATGGGCGAGACCCCGCGCGGCGCGCACTGCAGCGACGTTAATCGCACTCTCGCGCCGTTTGTCACGCGGGGCTCGGGGTTGTGGGCCCCTGCCGTTGTTTCGACTCGCAAATTTGTTATACGATGCACGCGGACCGGTGATGGTGATGCCGATAATGAGGATGAAGGGTAGTGACGTTGGAGCACCCCCGGCCCCGTTGGCGGCTATCTCCAGCCGTTGCGTTTGCTTGTGTCATCCTTTTTATTTGCCCTCCCCATCCAGCCGGGATGGCTCGGCGGCAGAGTGAGCGGCTCGCGATCGGAGTCCAATTCCTCGTTAGGGATTGGCAGCCGTGCATCCCTCGGGTCGATAAAATTAGCATTTCTCTGTGGTGAAATCAACGGTGGTTGTCTATGGGTGGAATGGCCCGATGACGACGACGATGGTGCTGACGATCACGACGACGAGTGGTGACAGCTGACCACGACCCGTTCCGTTGGCTTTCGTCCTTGCCGTGTGTGCTTGCCCCCACCGCCGTGTTCAGCAGCGCCGCCGTGCGCGCCCCATCTGCCCTCTCCCCTCCACGCCGGCAGGTTCGAGTCGTCGTCCCACGCCATCAGCATGAGCACCTACCTGCGCGAGCAGCGGCAGGCGCTGTACATCAAGAGCGGCGCCCTGCAGGGTGAGTCGGAGGCCGAGAGAAGATGGCGACACTCGCACCACCGCGCCTGTGACACTTCGAAGGGGTTGGTGGAGCGCATAACGACTTGGGAAACTCCCAAAGCTGCTTGGAGATTTTTTTAATAACAGTTACTTAGCACAGGCCCAATTCACAAAGTAGTCAGTAACAAACAGCACTTTCTAAGTTGTAAATAGAGACGATGGGAGGGACTTCCACAGTGGAACAGTGAGAAGTAAGAAGCAAAATAGAAGTGCTGCCGTGACCTGCAGTGTGGCGGTTGAAAACAGTTTGCATGCGAGATAGCAGTGGATTTATTAACCCATATGTGTGGATCTTAAGTGTCATCCCATCCGGCATGGTAAACCCCTCGGTGCGTGGATGTGCGACCACCATGCATGGCAGGCTGTTATAGGTTGCGGGACCACTTGGTGGGTGGCAGAGGGTGTGCCGTAAAATCAGATGAGAACCAGGATACTTCTCATTTGCAAGGGCGACCTGGGGCGTTAGTCTGCCAGCAGGGGGTGATGATCGCCGCTGTGTGTGTGTGTGAGATCCCAATTGGGTAATTTGCCTGCAATTTTCTAATTTGGCAAATTTGGACTTTTGACGCCGGCACACGATAGCCCAATCTTGCGAATTACGTCGCAGGGATCTTTAAAGTCGGCTATGAAGCGGATGGAGAGCGACGTTGTTATCACACCCGCAGTGTTAATCGGAGTGGCCACTCGGTTCGAATCGTGACCCTCGGCAACAAGCGGCGAACGTGAGGCAATGTCACCAGCCATAGAGGCCTTCCTGGATAAATGAGTGCCATTATGGGCAGTATTATTGTTCCCATCAATCATATGGCATTGTGAAATTACATATTCAAATGAATTAGAGAGCCTGTTGAGATTGGTATGTGTCCGACTGGGGAGAGGTGGGAAAGAAAAAGTGATGGGATATGGGTTCTAGTGGCATTTGTGGGATGAATGTTGGGCTGAGTGGACACTAACATTTACATTCGTTACAAAACTGTCACAATTCAATACACTTGCAACACTCTGCAATGCGGTGTAATAGCTGAAACACTTTGTTGCACTGAATTACATAAATACGCCGCTATACTCTACGCTGCACTGCAATGCACTGCCATAACTACACCACTATACAATGCATTGCAGTGGCACCAACACACTATAACACTGCGACGAAAGCACAGTACTCTAGAATGTAGTTTCGCTTCGTATCGAAATGCGGGCGCACGCGCGCCCACACGTGCATGCGTGCGTTGAGGTGCGTGGGGCGTTCGTCTTTGTCCGTTGATCAGTTCCACCGCCTGTGAAGGTCGCCCCGCGCCCGTGGTGTTCGCATGCCGTAGTTGTACTTGTTACTCGGCGCCTCTGCGTACATAAGCAAGGCTCGTTTTAGACTAAACCCTCTTAAATAGGCGTTCGCGGACGTGTCGAGAAAGCACCGTTCCGGCATTATCGGAGGCTCTGGCAGAAGCTTAAAGTGTTTTTGTAAAAAATAATGTTTGCAATTTACATTATGAGTGAGTTGATAAGCACGGTGAGTTTTAATGCACCGACACCGCTGCCGCCACCCTGTGCCGGTATTCTCGCATGGCCCGGCCGCTCCCGGCTCGGTGCTAATAGATCCCCCCCCATCGCGGCTGCCACCAGGGAGCCCAGCTCACCGTATCACCGGGCCAATTCTGTTTGACTTTGTAATGTATATTTTATGCCCGGGCAATATTCCACACCGCCCATTAGGGGCACAGGAAGCGAGCAAACGCGCGCCCCCGTGTCACGTCCTGGAGTTACGGTTTATTTTTCCTTCCCCTCACTAAGTGGATAATTATCGCTTGGCGAGGGTTTATTAATTAATTTATCTCCATAAAAAGTTGCTATCGTTTATCAACTTCCTCCCTTTTATTTTATTTCGGCTCGGTCGTTTCGAATTTTTATCAATTGAGAGCCGATGCTCGATTCGATGCCTAATTCACGCCCCTGAATGAACAGCGCAGATTCATCTGTTACGAAGAACGATGGCTCTTTTTGCGGGCATGTACGTTTATATCGATATTTATTTGTATTGAATCAGAAAGCTAGCGTATTGCAAGAGCTGGCACGGCGTGTGTGCGTGCGTGCGTGCGTGAGGTGTTCGGGAGCCTCGTGTTTGCCAGTCAGGAGTAATACACTTTTACCGGCTCCTTAATCTGTACGGATTCCGCACCACGGCTCAATTTGCAAGCTCGGCAGTAAACGCTCGTGAAATAAATATATTTCACTACAAGCGGCATTACATGGATTTCATCTCAAAACATGTAATTACCCCCTCCACCCTCCACTCCTACCGACTTCCCCCTCAAAAAAGCCAGAGGAGGGTGTAGATTGATGGCTTGTCGGTGTAAATTATGCATAACGAATGGAGAGTGTTTTGGCTGTGATGGATGGCGGTGGCGCATGCAGCTCCGTCGCCCCTTCTCCACCGTCGTCACAAGAGCGCCGGCTGCGTGGCTAGTGCCGCCCGCCACCGCCGCAACTTGGCGCCGGCCCACCGCCCGATCGCGTCGCTTTAACGTTGATGAATTGGCGAGCGCCGGGTGGCATGCCCCGTTCACCCCGCGCAGACACCGTTCCCATGCTGGCGCTGGATGATTTCTCGCTGGCTCGCTGGTGCTTGCACGTGCCGCAGGTCACCCCCCCCCCCCCCCCACCTCTGCAACAGGAAGTGGCCAGCACCCACTCCATCGCCTCTACCCCGTTTTCTCTTCGCTCGAGCCCAGCCTGCTTCTCCCTTGCCTGTCGCTGTCACGACCGCTACCTCCCTGCTCCCTGTTTTGCGTCTTCTCCACCTCTGTCGTTCGCTCCGCTTGTGTGTGAGGGGTCAGGGTTCGTCGGCGCCGTGGTGAGAGTGATGGCGGCGCCCACTGCTCTTCGATGCACATTGAGCTGGTGATTGCTCACCACTCCCAGCTCACTCTAACACTCAACACTTCCTTCCGCTCACTACTCTCACTCAGCCCAGCGACCCCATGAATCCTAAAGCTTCAAATGCCTTTAATTATTGGCCAAAATGTTGTTTTGCATGAAAACAAATGTGAGTGCTGTCAAGGTACCATGAATTATAGTCTTATTTTTTGGTTTATTTCATACTAGCTTTACTACCCGGCTTCGCCCGAGACTTGGATTCTTGTTTTGGATTAATACACGGCCTACGCGGAGGATGGGGGGTGACATCACAGTTGTGATGTGACCCCCCATCACTTGCCATGCAAAATATATCCATAATTGCGCCCCCCCCCCCCCCCCCCCCAAAATACAAAAGTCTTTTTTTTTATCATTTTTGCATGGTGTACAGTTTGGAAAGTACCCACATGGCAAATTTAAAGTTTGTTGCATGTCGCGAAATACGCTAAACTTTTTGAAGAAACGCACATAATCACAAATTTCCCTTTTATATTTTTAGATTAGGCATGTGGGAGGATGGTTGTGCAGTGGTTATTACATTGTTCTATGTACCCAGCCGTGGCTCACATCCGTAGCGAGTGATGTCTGAACTGATCCTCTGCCTCCACCCACCCATGCTGATCAGCGTATGGTCAAACAACCTCCATGACGAATGTGGCATGGGAAGACCCTCATCCAGCAGTGGATTGAGAAGGGGCTATAAATGTGCATACTAGGAATGTAATTAGTTTCCTTTCTCACCCACCGGGCCAAATGAACTCGCCAGTTTTTTTTTTTATTCCACATGCCTGTGATGGGGGTAAGTTGTACACACATATATTAGAGAGACGTGAGTTTAAACAAGTACAGTAATACCCCAGTTTACGTGCTGAAACGTGCAACGAATATCGAAACGACGTAAATAGAAGTGATTGACAGGGTAGGTGGAGGCGAAGGCCGAGGCGACGGACACGAGCAAGGACGGACGACGCTGTGGGCGACGTGAGTGTGGGGTTGAGGCGACGCACATCGGGTAGCGGTGTTGATAATAAAGTGAGGACGTATTTGCGAAACGACATCAAAGGGGGAGACGTAATTTGGGGCGTGATCGTACCGGGGAACAGAGCTCGTCAATCGAGTGATGGCACAACCGCTGTTGTACTCATTTTATGTACTCTACGGCACTTGATTAATTCCGCGTCCTCGAGCCAGAAACGTCCTTGTGGGAGCGCGATGATAATTTCGGTTGTAAAGCGAGCGGCGAGGCACCGCACCAGCTGCAGTGCGTTTCCTGTTGTTGCGGTTGAGCGTTGAGAGTCGGGACTGACATCAATCAGGTTTATACACGGAGCCAGGTGAGAGCCCATTGAGAAACGATGCCTCTCTCCTGGCAAACGGCTGCCTCCTGGGTTAAGGGCTAAAGCGCAGTATAATTCGCCGTTGATGTCGCGTGCGCACCCTGTTGAAGTGATAGCGTGTAGCCGGCTTGGCTACCAGAGGCGTACACACTCATACCGTTGTACAGATTATTATCATTATTATTACTCTGCTTGTTCACCGAGTCTCATGACTCTCTTTTCTGAAAGGGTCCTGCCAAGTTGTTTTTTTTCAGTTCTGTTTGATGGTTGCTGTGTAGATTACAATATGCAGATCATTTTTCAATTCAGCAAATTTGGACCATGAAGCCGGTATTACACAGTGATCAGCTCTTGCGAATCACAGAATCTTTAATGTCCGCTGTGAGTGAAGCAGACTGCGCATCTTTATAGTTGTATGGTTAATACACAGCTGCGAATAACCACGCAGTTCTCCAGGTTCGTAATGCAGTGCGCTAACCTATACACACTCCTGCACCGCTGGTTCCACCGTTCTTTGTCGGTCTGAGGCAGCAGGGGCCACTTAAGGCGATTCCGGGTCGCTCATAAATCACCGCGAGGCTCCGTGCTGCTGGAGCGTAAGTAAATGTTTTCTATCTGAGCCAGAGTTTGGTTTCTTTGCCCAGGGGATGTTTTTAATGATCTCAATCCTGGCCGAACGCTTCTCCCCCCTCTCCTCTTCACCCCTTGC